AACATAATGCTTTTGTCCATATATAATAGACATACTGAGATATATTCGTGCAAAATGAAAATAGGAAATATCTATATCGAGTATAATTATTAATAATTAGTTAAGATGAGGTTTGATTACTCGAATATTTTTTATTATGTGTACAAGGAAAAGATCACAAAAAAAAAAAGAAAAAGTAAATTGTTTAATTCCTTTGTTTGAAACGGTATTGAAAATAAACATATTTTTTATTCGAGATAAAAAAAAAATATGATTGTTACGTGAAAATTAAATAAATACTGTATATATATCGGCGTTGTTTTATTTCATTCCCTCCCGCAATTAGATCCGATGATCTTAGAACAATTTGTTTTTCTAAGAAAATTTTTTATTTTTTTTGAAAGAACCTGAAAAAAAAATTAAAATTTTGTTAATACGACGAAAATAGAAATAAAACAAAAAAAATCATTTGGCAGACATATTGCACATGATACGTTTTTTATATTTTATTTCAAGTCTAGTACTTTTATGTATTAAATTGATCATTAAATTAGTTTTTTGTGTTCGAACCGCTTGAAAAATATTCATATATGTAACTTGACTGGATAATGAAATTGTTCCTAAATCCGGAGCGCACCAACATTTTCCCATATTACTCTAAAAATAGAACACATATAGAAATTACCAACTAAAATTGTGATTGTCAGATCATTCTTATTGATTTTTTAAAAAAAAAAAAGTAAATGACCTTATAATTTTCCATCACTGTCTTAGATAAAATAAGATGAAATTCATGTTCGCTTGATATATGATGATATTTAGAAACATAAAATAAATTAAATTATATATCAAATAGGTTTAATTTTTTTATTTCACTTACCATTGCGAGTTTGTTTTTTCCGAATATTTGATAATCCGTATCGAGACAAATAGTTCCTATTCGATCACTTGTTTCTTTGAGCATAACCCAATATTTTGCTGCACTTATACAATTTGCTGTAACAAACTTCCTGATTTTTGTGTAACAATATCAGAAGGAACTTCTGTCTTTATTGTTTTGAATTATAAAGGAAGGAAAGGTTATAGATAAAAATGTGCAAAATTTGGAGATAACAGAAATAAAAAGTCATTTTAAATTAATTGTGATTTGAAGTTGAATTTTATCGTTTATTAACGAGATATAAAAATCGTATGATTCAAACCATCACTGAGAAGTCTATTTTTTTTACAAAATATTTAAGCTTTTTTTTCTATTTTAAAGGAAAACGGCTGTTAAATTCATAAGCTATTTTCCTTCGTCGTGTATATAAGATTGATTATGATAAATTGTATTATACTGTATTTTCCGGTATATCGAAACGCCTGTTATCATGTTTAGGAACTAAAATGAATGCGATGAAAAAATATTTTATCGTGATCATTTTGTGCGACAAATATTTATTGTTGATTTTATGTAACATTCAAATTTTGGTTAGTTCAGTTACTAGCAAATGTTTTTATATTTTATGCTTACTTAACAAATAAATACTTTTTGTTCCGAAATATTTCTTAGCCTAAATACAGAATAATCTCATTACTTTTAGCATTGATAAAGTTCGGATTGCTGGCGCGGATAAGTTAATTTATTTATTATTTTTTTTTTTATTTGGAATTTGGATTTTTTAGTTTTCGGTTGGTTGGTGTTTTTCGTCTTGATAACTTCGGAATACAGCGATAGATGATATTTTTCCAGTATGTGATAGGTAAATTTTTTTTTCTTTGTTTCCATTTTTACATTTTTTTTTTTTTGATTCTTAAATTTTCTAATTTATTTTTTTGTTTTTAGGTTCTTTTCACAATGAATTGTCGGTTCGATCTGCTGCTAAGGATGGGGACG